TTGGAAAACTAATCACAAGCAGTTTCTAAACCAAAATGACATGTTGTAAAAGGACAATAAACATTGGGTCAAAATGGAGCCTGAGTCCTGGCCCCTGTGCCTGCTTCTTTTCCTGGGAAGGGCCTTGGGCTACTCCAAGAGTGCCAAGGCACTCTTCCAAATGTGAAATTCTAGAATTAAGATTGCACCCTCTTCCCCTACTGATAAAACATTGGTATACTGCTGCCTCGCCCAGTGTCTGCAGTATCACTGGATAGGACTGCGGTGGAGGGAGAGCAGCCTGATGGAGCTCCAGATGTGGTGAATGTGGGATCCTCTACCTGTATTTGATGTGGATGGGGAGATTAGGCCTGCAGAGTCCCCTTTTCCTGACCAAGGCTGAATTGGGGTGCCCTCCAAAAATATAAAAGTTGTAGAAAGATACAGTTTCTGTCTGGAGATGGATGTTCTCTTGATGCATCTAAAAATTTCATATATTCATGTTCTGGTTGAGGATCACTTACAGTTATGTCCACCTTTATGTAATTTGTATTATGAAAACATAGCTTTTTTTCTAATATAAAATTCTAGTATTGGATGTGTTTCTTTCTAAACGAAACATCCTCCCCTGCTCCTCGTTTTTCAGATGATTGCTTGCATAGTTTTGTCCAGGTATAGAGTATCCTCTTCGTTCAGCAAGTACTAACGTAATCACTTTGTGCTTCTGGGATCAGTACCTCGATGCCTTATCGAAGAAGGAGTATGGTGCAGAGAAAATAATCCACTGAGTCAAATTAGTCATTCTAGTACTTATACCAGCCTCTGGTTTGATCTACATAGGTAGGTAAATTACAAGGACTCAAGATAGTCTGATTAAACTAGGGGTGATTAAACTAGGGCATCTTGAACTCATGTGCTGTGAAATAGATATTCTTGCACTTTTGTGATTTGCATTGACTGTCCCTTGTGACACTTCCTACACTGGATCCTGTCTTTGGTCCTCCTTTGGTTTTCCTGCTATTTTAGGTATCCTGACGGCTTAGCTTTCAGTCTTCCTACTCTGGACATTGTCACTCTATCTCATCCCTGTGGCAACCTAACCTCAGTAAGACCAAAGACAAGGTCTTTTGTGGTAAAGACATTTGGTACCTCTGCATCAAGCTATGGGAACAGAACAGAAGGCAAGATCCCACAAAATAGGTAGAGGTACTGGTTGATATGTGATAGAAATTTGTGTTGGAATGATTGCTTTGCACTCCCTTATAACACGAAGTGTGTCTATAGGGAAGATGGTTGGAGCTTTATAGATTCTTTAGGAAAAAAATAAGAGCAGACTTGTGAGAGGCCTGGTTTTGCTTCTCGCACTTGTGCTTATAGCAGTGTGGCGTCACACAAGGCACGGAGCTCTTCTGGGGCCTCGAGATTTCTTAGTCTGATAAAATGATTGACAGTGCTTTGTAAACTGTAGAAAGCAGTGTGAGGGACTGTTTATTGTCAAAATGCACCTGCAGGAGCCTGCATACTTAAACCAAGAGGCAAATTGTATAGGCAGTTCATCTTTCTCCCCACAGGGTTTCCAGAAAGAAATTGGAATGTGATCTTACTGTAGCCATCTTCCCACAGGATAAGTGCTGTGATTAGAAGATGGGTTTCTAACCAAAAATATGGCATCAAATTAGATCATGGAGGACCAACAGTTCACCACAGAGGCGAAAGCAAAGATGGAACTATAAATCTAAAATCTTGATCCTGCAAGTAGCCCTGAGAGTAGTGGTTACATAGTGCCCAGGATGCCAGTCATTAGTTTGACCGAACTGAACAAATGTTAAATGGTTTGTTAATCTTGCCCAGCCCTACAACCTACTGAGGGCTTAAAAAGACTTAAGAATATAGGACTTGGATGTTTCATAAAGCTATTCAGAGTTGCATAGACTCATTAAATGGCCCTATGTCAAGTGGAAATTAAGAATTGCATTGTCTTTGAGACTATGAGACTATTTTTCTGGGGGTAGATAGGTGGGGAGAAGGAAAGTACCTTCAGTTCCACTCCTGGCCAGCAGGTGGTAAGTTGGGCTCAGACCCTATAGACAAGTTAGGGCTAAATAAAACTTTGGAACAGAATAGTAACATTAGTGAGAGGAGGCAGAGGGAAGCATGTACCTTCTGACTGTTTTTCTCAACCAAATATACAGAGTAGAGCGAATGTTATAGATTGGGAAGAACACTGGTTTGGGAGTGTGAACTTGACCTCACAGAACCTCACTGTCTTTGAAAGGCTTGATAGCCATAATATCAGGAAAGCAGTGCTATCAACAAGACATAAATTGTTATGGGGCTGCAAAGAAGGGGAAACCGTACCAAGATAGGAGAATCTGAGAAGGCTGTGGAGGCAGTCTGAGCTGGGGGTTAAAGGAAGATGGGAGGCTTGACATGGGGTCAGAGCATGCTTAAGAAGCATCAGGTTGACTAGCAAGGGGGTGAATTCTGAGAGGCCAAACCACATTGTGAAGAACCTCAAATGCCAGGTGTGAACTTTATTCTAATGATCTTGTGGGTCCTCTGGGGGTTTAGGCAGGAAAGTAACCGTCAGATCTCAGGGCTAGAGAACTTTTTTTTTGTTGTGGCAAAATAACGTAAAATTCATGCAAAAATTTCCAAGTGTACAGTACAGTATTGTCAACCACATGTGCATTGTTGTGTATAGACAATTCACTTCTTTTTCATTGACAGTTCACTTTTTTTTTTTTTTTTTTTTTCTCACAGTGCGGCTTGTGGGATCTTAGTTCTCCAACCAGGGATTGAACCCAGGCCCCCGCAGTGAAAGCACTGAATCCTATCTGCTGGACCGCCAGGGAGTTTCCAACAATTCATGTTTTTGTTGTTTTTTTTTTTCCTTCGGTACACAGGCCTCTCACTGTTGGTGGCCTCTCCCGTTGCGGAGCACAGGCTCCGGACGCGCAGGCTCAGCGGCCATGGCTCACGGGCCTAGCCGCTCTGCGGCATGTGGGATCTTCCCAGACCGGGGCACGAACCCGTGTCCCCTGCATCGGCAGGCGGATTCTCAACCACTGCGCCACCAGGGAAGCCCAACAATTCACTTTTTAAAAAACTTTTATTTGGGGGAATTTCCTGGTGGCCCAGTGGTTAGGACTTGGTGCTTTCACTGCCGTGGGCTCGGGTTCAATCCCTGATTGGGGAACTAAGATCTGTAATGCAGCCAAAAATTATATAGTATTCCCAATAACCAGAGATAATCATTTTTTTTTTTCTTTTTTAGATTGGGGCGTGAGGTTAAAGGAGGAGTCAGGAGCAGGCTTCTGGCTTCAGTACTGGGGTGGATGTTGTACACCCCTTCAATAGGAATTCGCACATTGGAGGACAGGGTTAAAGGGAAAATGAGTAAGTTTTAGACAGGTTGTATATGAGACAATACTAGTAGGTGGTAAGATAGGTGGATCCTGAAGCCTAGAGATGGTTAAAAAATGACCCATGTTTTGAAATATGGCACTTAATGGAATGGGTTCAAGACACTATGTTTTTAATGGTATTGGTAAAATTGGATATCTTTTTTGGGGGTTGGGGGAGTTAGATTCTCTCCTCATACTGTACTCAGAAATTAGATTAACAATCTAAACATAACATCTATGGGAATTCCGTGGTGGTCCAGTGGTTAGTGCTCTGCCCTTCCACTGCAGGGGACACGGGTTCAGTCCCTGGTTGGGGAACTAAAATCCCACATGCTGCACGGCATGGCCAAAAATAAATAAACAAACAAACGTCCATGAGGGTGCTAGAAGAAAGTGTTTTAGAATCCATAAGGGAACATGTTGGTAGATTTAAACTTTGGCATGGTAAAATCGCTTTAAAATTAGAAAATAAGCTACAGATTGGGAGAAACTATTTGCAGCATATTAACAGGTTGAGTTAATATCTGTGACAGACAGGATAATGCCATTCCCAAACCCCCTGACCAATGCCCACGTCCTAATCCTTGGCACCTGTGAATATATTGTGCTACATGGCAAAAGGGAATTAAAGTTGCAGATGGAATTAAGGTTGCTAGCCAACTTACTTTAAGATAGGAAGAGTATCTTGGATTACTGAGGTGGGTCCAATGTAATTAAAAGTGTCCTGAAAAGTGGGAGAGGGAGGAAAAAGTGATGTGAGAAGAACTTGACTTGCCTTTGCTAGCTTTGAAGATGGAGGAGGAGGGCCAATAGCCAAGGAATGTGGGCAGCTTCTAGAAGCTGGGAAAGACCAGGAATGAATCCTACCCAGTGCCTACAGAAAGGAATGCGGCCCTGCCAACCTCTTGATTTTAGCCCTGTGAGACTTCTAATAAAATTAATTTATGTTGTTTTGTGATAATTTGTTATGGCAGCAGTAGAAAAGTAATAAAATACCCAGCAAACAGTGCAGTAGAAAAATGGGTATATGATATGAACAGGCAATTATAGAAGAAATCCAGCGATTGCTAAACATATGAAAAGGGACTTGTTTTTGTGGCCTTGGAGATGCATGAGCTAAACTAGAGAGAGAAAAGAGCAGAGGGCTGACAAGAATTGGCTAGAAACATATGTGGGGAACTTGTGTATCAAGTATGTGAAGAAGGGGACCATACCCAGGACCAAGAGCAGCTGCCTAGACCCAGACCAATTTTTCTTCTGTTGACTTGCTGTGAAGTATTTCTCAAGGGCAGCATTGGTCTGTGCTCCCCTGGCCTTAACAGCTTCACCCTGTAGAGTGAGGACTCCAGGTTATAGACTCCAGGTTGATCATCTGTGAACAGCTTGAAAAGAAAGTTAAGCCTATAGAATCCTGAGCTCTCTACTTCTGGGACCTGATCCTGAGGAGATACAGCTGCAGCAGAATAGGGAACCGTCATTTCCAGTACCCCAGACTCCAAAAAAGACATGAGTGGGGTTTGTCTAGTTCAGCTAGTTTATTAGGATTTCCTTTGGGTCTCCACCCCCCAACTGGTTTGGCTTCAGGTCTTGGGGTACTTATATTGGGTGCCAGTACTACCAGCCTTTTCTCTGCTGACTGGATTTGGTGGGCAGGGGTCCATGGGTACCCAGAAATTTGGCTAACATCCTTTGGAGACCCCTGGTAAGGGGAGCCTGAGGTGTGGGGGAGGAAAGACGCTTCTGGGCCCAAGGGCAGTGCTTACAGTGCCGAGGGGCCAGGATGTCACCAGCTCCCAGCCTTGCCCCTCTCTGATCTTGGGAACCTGAAGCCTTGGAGTGAGGCTGCGGGGAGGGAGCAGTGTGTCGAGAGCTCTGGTCCCTGTGCTGAGATCTTTGCAAAAGTCTGCTTACAGGGACCTCTGCTAGTCTGGCCTGGGCTAGGTGGCTTTTCCCTGTAACTGTGGTTGACCCCAATTTTGCATCCCCTTCTCCGTGGTCTCCTTCTTTGGGTTTCCTGGGGCTCTCTCTCTTTTTGGCTGAAGATAGAGCTGAAGCCTTGTCCTGTCTCTTCCCTGAGGCTGGAACCTCCGGGTATGAGGGCTCTTCCAGGCCTGGGCAGTGAACACATGACCCCTGGGATGACATCTTCACATTCATTCTTTGCTCTTTCTGAGACTCTTGTTCTGCCCTGCCAGACTTCCATAGCTGAGGTTGGATAGAGGAGTGGGAGTGATAAGAGTGGGGGACCTGGACAGGCTGAGTTACTGTGCTCTGAGGTTTAGGGGGATGACAGCTTGAAGAGTTGGGGCACAGACTGAGGGGATGAATCTGCTGTGGGGGGCAAGAAGAGAGTCTCCGGGTGGCTTGAGTTGTGGAGCTCAGGGCAGGGGAGCTGCCAAATGATTGACTTGGGCCAAGAGATCTGGAAGCAGGGCTCTGCTGTAGTTTCTTCAGCCTGAGTTCCAACTCTTTACTCCAGTGCCAGGCCTGGATCCCAGAGTGTGTGGGCAACTTTGGGACAGCCTCACCCTGGGAGGATGGAGTCTCTGCCTTAGCCCCTGGGAACAGCTCTCCCTTGGGTAGGCCAGGCTGGTTGGACTCAATCTTTAGAGCTTCAGCTTGGGTGGAAGGCCAGGGTATTGGCTGGAGGGGATCCACTGCTGGAAGGCTGGGGTCCTGGGGGATCCCTCTTTGTTGCACATTCCTCCACACAAACTCAAGGTCAATGTGTGGATCTGGTAGAGGAGCAGAGAGTGACCTGGGGATTGGGGCTGGGAGTTCAGTGGTCCAGCAGTTCCCTCTCTGCTCCACTGTTTCCCCCTCAGGTTTACAGTTGCATTGGTCTCCAGTAGGCTCACTTGTGTGAGACTTTGACATAGAGTTTGGGCATGGGCTGGGGCCCCACAATGGGGACACAGGAACACAACAGGTTTCTTTCTGCTCCATGTGCCCCACAGTAGGCTCAGAGTCAGATTGGACTCCCAAGGCGTTGGCTCCACGTGGGTCTTGGGGTAAGCTGCAAGCCGGGAGCTCAGAGGCCCAGGAGTTCTTTCTCCTTTCTATGTCCCCACATGTAGCTTCAGAATCAAACAGGACCCCCGTAGGGCTAACTCTGAGGGAATCCAGTACAAGAACTGCGGGTGGGCTGAAGGCCAGAGATGGCAATTGAAAAGCCCAGGAATTCTGGGAATGATCAGTGTCCTTCCATGCAGTTTCTGACCCAGTGACCCCTCCCACAGGATTGATTCTGTGGGGTTCTAGAATAGGAGCTAGAGATGGGCTGTGGCCAGGGCCTGGAGATTCTGAGGTCCAGAGGTTGTCTGTCTGCCTCACGGCCTCCCACGAAGCTTTGGACTCAGACAAGACTGCCTGGGCACCCGTTCCTAGGGACTCCAGCAGAGAGGCTGAGGGAAGGCTGGGAGATGAAACTGGGTCTGCAGAGACCCAAAGATTTTCTCTACTCTGTGTGCCCTTCCACGGAGTCTCAGATCCTGATGGGACACATGCAGGCATGGTTCCATGGAGTCCTGGGTCGACGTCCAAGGCTGGGGGCTCAAAGGCCCAAAGGTTTGTTGAATTTTCTCTGCATCTCCACTGGGGCTCATATCCAGATGGATCTCCCAGGGGACTGCCTCCCTGGAGTTCTGGCAGGGGATGTGGGGGAGGGCAGGGGGCTGGCGTTGGGGGCTGAAAGGCTTGAGTACTCTCTTTATGTCCTGTGGTTCCCCACTGAGTCTCATATACAGGTGGAACTTCCAGGGTGCTTGTTCCTTGAGGCTCTGTCATGGGGGCTACAGATTGGCAAGGGACTGAGGTCGGAGGCTCAGAGATCTGAGGATTCTCTCTTCGCCTTGTGGTTTCCCAGAGGGCTTCAGGTCCAGAGAGGCCTCCTATAGGGCTGACTCCTTGGCATTCTGGCAGAGAAGTTGGGGTTAGGCTGGGAGCTGGCACTGCTGGCTCAGGGGTTTTGGGGTCCTCATTTTGCCCCGTGGTCCTCCATGGGGCCTCAGACCTAGTTAGGTCTCCCAGAAGGCTAGCAGGATTTTCTGCTAGGGAGGCACAGAGTGAGTCTGGAATGTGTTGTTGGAGGCCAGGATCCCATGGCACCTTCCACCAGACCTCAGATGAATGGAAGAGTTTGGAGGGCCTGGTTCTTTGGAGGTTAGGCTGTGGGTGCAGGGCTTGATCCTCAGAGACCCAAGGGACCTCTCTCTGCTGTGTAAGCCACTGTGTGTTTGCCTCAGTGCCAGATAGGACTCTCTTATGGTCCATGGGAAAGAATTTAAGTTGGAGGGGAAGTGATGGGACAGGAGGGGAAGATGGGGAGGGAAGTTGCTGAGGGTCAGAGGCCGTTCCTTCCAAATCTTCTGTAGTATGGACTTCATGTGTAGGAAGTGGGGTTGGGGAGCAATACTGGGGAAGCAGCAATACTGGGGTTCTAGGCAGGAAGGCAAACTTGTTAAAGAAGACAGAAGGACTGACAGACAACTTCAGGGGAGAGAGGCCACCTGAGCTCAGGAAGATGGCCTCCAAGGACTCACTGTGCAGAGAGGGGAGACCCCAGAAGAGCTGGCTTTCTCTCTGCTGTAGGTGGCTCCCTGATGCTGTCTTGTGCCTCACAGGCAGGTTGGTCAAGATCTGAAAGGTGGGGAAGGATCTGGAAGGGTCTGGGGTCTGCGTGAGTACTTGCTCTAGTGTCCCTATGGCCTTGTGGAGGCCCTCAGAATCACAGGATGGCTGGGATGGGGCTGTGGTGGGTTGTTCTCCAATAGGAGCTTCTTTGGGAAGAGAACATGGCTTCAGTGGATCCAGAGATACCTTCTCTTCTTCTTCCTCCCCTGACTTCTGCTTCCACAGGCGATCAAGGAAAGCCACGCGGTACAGAAGTGGTAGGCCCTGGGGAGTGGAGAAAGATACAATCTTTCTGGGGAGTGGAGAAAGACACAATCAGGCATGAAGCCTTTGTCAGAGACACAAGATGTACCGTTAAGCCCTCAGTCTTTGTTCTACAGTGAGTGAACAGTTGCTCACTGGGGCCCACATCTGTGGACAATAGTCACTTACCCATCTGGTGTTAATGGCCATTACCCAACTACATTTGGAGATCGGCATTCCCTTACATAACCCCACATCTAGGGTCAATGATCATTCAGCTGGCTTGAAATCTAGTGTTAATGGTCACTCACCCAGCCTCACATTTAAGGCTTATAGTCACTCTTTTGAGCCCACATTGATGTCAATGATTCCTTACCTGAACTCATGTGGTGAGTCATTTACCCAGCTGCACACCTATGTCACCCACCTTGCCTTGCATCTTGTCCCCAGAGTACCAGGGCTGAAGCTGTCGCCATCTCCCAAGCTGCCACCACCTCTGGATCTGCCAAACCACGAACAAGAATAGTGTTACCAGGTTCCCTGGACTCAGAAGGCAGCTGCTGCCACAGTGTCTGCAGGCCAGGGCATGGGTCAACTGGCCCCAGAGAAGCCCCACGTCCCCCTCAGCCCCAAGCAGGCCCTCTGGCAGCCATTCCATTTTCCTCAGCCTAGTGGCAGTTTACCCTGAGGTCATCACTGCATCACAGAACAAAGAACTCCCATCCCCCACATACCTAACAGCAGTCTCTGTGAATTTACAGCCCAAAAATTGCGCCCACCAGACAACTCATACTTTATTCAGTGAAAGCTTAGTGCTCCCCTTTTGTCTTGATTACCAAGGTCAGAATTATCTTCAGGCATTGTGGTTGAGGACATGGATTCTAGCATCAAACTACCTTATTCAAATCCTAGCTCTGCCACTTCCTACCTGTGAAATCTCAAACTACTTTATCTTTCAGTGCCTCAGTCATCTCATCTGTAAAATGGGGATAATATTATTACTTACCACATAGGGTTGTTTTGAGGGTTAAATGAAAACATGTATATGCTTAGAGTAGTACATAGTATATGCTATGTTAAAACGTTATTTCTTTTTTTGCCATAAATGATCAATAACCAATCTATAACAAGAATAGAATAGAGGAGAGTTTTATTTGAGCCAAGCTGAAGACTGTAGCCCAGGAGACAGCCTCTCAGATAGCTCTGAGGAACTGCTCCCAAGAAGCCTGTTTTCCAGCACAGCTTTATATCTTGTCAGAACAAAGGACATCAAACATGACAGGGGTACATTCCTTCAACGTTTCAAAAAAGACAGATTAGCTCGTACACAGCAAGTCAGTATGACCTTGGTGCCTGGGAAGGGAGCCTTATCGTCAAAGGAGTACTAGCGTTGACATCCCAGGAAGGAAGGCATTTATCTCTAATTTCATAACAGATATTCTTTACTTCTGGACAATGCACCCTTTTCTTTTTTTTTTTTTTTTGCACGCTTTTCTTTAATGGTTAAAGCAGATGTGCAATGTATGTTTGATAGACCACAAGACAGGCTTGTAGTTAGTATAAAGTTCAAGTCAAATCATATATAAGCCAGAATGACTTCCCTATACCTCGGTATATGAAAATTTCTTCCATCACTTTTAAGGTTCCTGATTACACACCTCATTCCATCTTTAATAGATGGAGTCTGTTTCCTCTTTTACATCTCATGTCTTTAGGTTGCCCGAGACCTTTTTCACAAATATTCATGTTAAGGATGACAAATCAAACATGCTTGACCCTTTTTTTTTTTCATTTGCCCCTCTTTTCCCTAAAACCACCAATCTGTTTCACGTCAACTCCTCTTTTTAGGGTCAAACTTCAACATCTGCCTTTGCAGTCCAATTCAATGCCTCTCTTCTCACCCCATCCCCCATCAACTGCCCGCTTAGTCTGGTAGAAGAGCGCTGAGCTGAAGTTGAGGAGACTTGGATTTTCTAGCTCTGTCACTGTTTGGCCATGTAATCTTGGGCAAGAAAGTTTTCTCCATGGCTACCATGATTTGGACTAGATTTATTCATTCAGAGAATATTTATTAAGTGCTTACTATGGATCAGGTATCGTGCTCAGGCTTGAGGAGGCAGAAGTAAGACAGGGTCTCTGTGCTAAAGTAGGTCCCATTTCAGTGAGGGAAACAGTCAAATAATAGACAATTAAAATAGAGATATGTACAGGGTATTAAGGGGTGTGGAGGACATCTAACCACCTTGGGGTAGGGGGTTGCTTGTCAGGGGGTGCTTCCCAGAAGAAATGACCAGTGCTTGGTTTGAGGAATCAAGAAAATGAGAGTGTAGGGAAGAGAGGACAATCCAAGCAGTAGAAACAGCCTGTGTAAAGGTGGTGGGTCAGAGAAACCATGTCCCATTAGGGAAATTGAAGGTGCTGCAGTGCAGCTGTAGTATTAGTTGAGGGTTGGGGAAGCAGTAGGATAGACAAGATCACAAAGGGCCCTGAATACCGGACTAAGAAGTTGGAAATTTATCCTGAAGGTGATGGGAAATAATTGAAACTTTTTGAGCAGGGAAGAGACAAGATCAAGTTTGTGTCTTGGAAAGAACACTCTGGCTATATTGAGGGCAAAGAGATTGAAGGCAAGAGATTGGTTAGGGAAACTTTGCTTTAGTTTAGGCAAAATGAAAGATGAGGCCTGAACCAAGGCAGTGATGGTGGGAATGGAGAATTAACAGGTTCAAGTAGAATTCTAAAGTTATAGTTGATTAGACTTAGTTACCAGTGGGATAGGGTGGAGTAGGGAGGGAGTTGAGAATGACTCTAGGGATTCTGACTTGGGGAACTGGGTGTGTATGTTAGTGACATTTTACTGAGGTAAGTAACACAAACCTGGTAACCAATTTAGGGTGAGGGGACAATGTGTTCCATTTTAGACATTTGCATTTGAGGTTCCTGTGACAAGGAAATGTCAGGCAGGAGGCAGATAGATACATGTATCTGAAGCTTGGGAAAGTAGTCTGTGGGGGAGATATAAATTTGACAGCCACCAGTATATATGTAGCAGCTGAAACCATAAAACGGCTTAAAGGTACATACTGATATTTAACATTTGGCCCAGACAATGTGGCCAGCAGTTTTTTGTTTTTTTTTTTAAACTTGAATGGTCAACATTATAAGATTAGTAGATTGTACGTAATAATATTTTTGGCTTAAAATCTGGCAACATAGGGCTCTCATTCCCACAAAGTAATAACCATTAATTAATTAATTAATTTTATTTATTTATTTTTGGCCACGTTGGGTCTTCGTTGCTATGCGTGGGCTTTCTCTAGTTGCAGTGAGCGGGGGCCACTCTTCGTTGCGGTGCGCGGGCTTCTCATTGTGGTGGCTTCTCTTATTGCAGAGCATGGGCTCTAGGCGCAGGCTCAGTAGTTGTGGCGCACGGGCTTAGTTGCTCCGCAGCATGTGGGATCTTCCCAGACCAGGGATCGAAGCTGTGTCCCCTGCATTGGCAGGCGGATTCTTAAACACTATGCTACCAGGGAAGCCCAGTAAAGACCATTGAGAGCTAAGGAGCAGGGGCTCCCTTAGTGGCCATGTGCTTTCCAGTTCACCATGTTCTCTTTGTTAAAGCCGAGGCTGAGGGCTAGTTGCTGTTTATCATTGTGCCTATGGTTTTGTTGTTTTCTTACACTTGCCTATTTTTAGTCATTTGCATTACCTGCCTGGTATCTGAGTTTCCTACCTCTGGATGAACAAAGTAAGTTGAGTTCTGATAGGAAATAGAGAAGGCAATGCTGAATTCTGTGCTAGCTAATTTACATTTATGGCAGGATAATCTACTAAGTTGCTGTCTGCTACTCATTGCCAAAAGAGACATTCAGTAGGATAAAAAGGTAACTTTGCTCTCCTCTCTTCCAGGAATTCTAGGTTTCTTGTCTCATGGAATAGTTAATGGATTTTGAGTTTATTAGTCCCAAACTAAAGTTGCAATACACCTGTTCTACAACCTTATCCAGGCTCTTGTGTGGGAGGAGAATTTAATTTAGCTGGGTGCTCTTCAGAAGGAGAAGATGGAGGAGATGCTGGGTGGAAAGAAGAGAAGTTGCCCAAGGATAGCAGTGGGTTCAGGGACTTGGGAAAAAAGAGATATTGCAATAGGCTCCATGAGTGACAGAAGTCAATTAGGAGGCAGCAGGGCTTCTGATGGGGAGAGCTGATTTAATAGGGCACTAAACATCTAGTACATAGTCTTGGGAACTGCAGCAAAAGATGCTGATATATATACTTGGTAGAGATGCTGTGGAGCCATTGCCTTTGAATGGACTGTATGAGTTTAGATAATGCACATCCCAGTGGCAACCATGACAGGATCAAGACCCAAGTTTCTTTCCTAAGTGGTTTTTTTTTTGGTCAATGTATATCACATTAAAGAGGGGAAAAGCCCCCTTCCCCAACCCAAATCATGATTAATATTAGATGTCTTCCAACCCTGGTAAATGAGAGTTTCGAACCAGGTTTAATTTAATTTAGAAAAATTAAGTAATGTGATGTTTCTTGTGTTTCAGTGTTGTGGAACAAATTTATACTCTAACATTTATCTCATTTAATCTTTACAACTCTTTGAAGTAGGTATTGTTATATTCTTTCACATAGGGGAAACTGAGACACAAAGAAATTAACATATGTTAACTATTATCATTATTATTATATCTATATATCCATAGATATGTAGATATCCCAGAAGGCAGAGTTAGGGATTGAGAACCCCCTTGTATTGTGAGGAATCATTTGTATGTGACAGAAATTAAAATCCAGGGACTTCCCTGGTGGTCAGGTTGGTGCTCCCAATGCAGGGGGCCCAGATTCGATCTCTTGTTGGGGAACTAGATCTTGCATGCATGCTGCAACTAAGGGTTCGCATGCTGCAACTAAGAAGCCTGCATGCCGCAACTAAAGATCCTGTGTGCCGCAACTAAGACCTGGTGCAGCCTAAATAAATAAATAATTTTAAAAAAAGAAATTAAAATCCAATTTAATCCAAATAAAAATCTGGTGTAAACAAATGGGAATGTATTGACTCATATCTGAACAATCCAGGGGTAGGGTTGGCTTCAGGCAATTGGATTGATGCAGAGATTCAATTCGATGTCATCGGGATTCAGTTTTCATTTCTTTTTCTTTCTTTTTTTTTTTAAGATTTATTTTCTTAATTTATTAATTAATTAATCTATTTACTTAGGCTGTGGCAGGTCTTAGTTGTGGCACATGGGATCTCCGTTGCAGCATGCGGAATCTTTATTTGCGGCATGCGAACTCTTAGTTGGGGCATGCATGTGGGATCTAGTTCTCTGACCAGGGATCGAATCTGGGCCCCCTGCCTTGGGAGCACAGAGCCTTTTTTTTTTAAAGTAATATCTTTTTTTAAAAAATTAATTAATTTTTGGCTGTGTTGGGTCTTAGTTGCTGCGTGCAGGCTTTCTCTAGT